GTAGTAGTAGTAGTAGTAGTAGTAGTAGTAGTAGTAGTAGTAGTAGTAGTAGTAGTAGTAGTAGTAGTAGTAGTAGTGGTAGTAGTAGTAGTAGAGGTAGTAGTAGTAGTAGTATTGATATAATGTAAAGTCATTGCTTAACTTAAATAAATATGATGTTTTCATAATAATATCATAATGATGCTCTTAAAACTGTACAATGACACACAGCACAGATAAAGGGAATTATATATGATTATATATATCACCAGAATTGATACAATACGCATTCATTTCCCACCTCAACTCTCGTAGGACGTATCTGGCACAAATTATGTCCGATCAGCTACAGACCAAAGGCAGTGTTGTTGCACGTTTCAAAACAGTCACACACTAGGCCTAATCAGAAAAGTGCACATTTGTTCGCGTGTTATATCCTGCCTTTCTAAGTTTCAAATAAAGGTGACAGGATTGGAACATAATATATAACGAGTTTATTCTACTTGTTTAAAGAGCCCAAAATCAGCGAATCTGCAAGCGTTGTCAAAGACCAGAAAACACGAAAAATGGTGAAATGGTAGAGGTTTAATGCCCCTATCATCACTATTAGTTTATTTATGAGGCAGGACCTCCGAGTTTGACGTCAATCTCCGAAAGGACCGAGCCAAGTGAGAAATTCGTGTTAAGTACCTTTCCCAAGGACACAACGTCGGCCCGAGCTGAGGCTCGAACCCCCGAACCCGCAATCTCACGATTACGAGTCTGGTAGCCTAATAGGGGGTGCCCATTAGCACAATCGGGTCGGGTTGGATGGGATCGGGTTGGATCGGGTCGGGTTGGATCGGTTCGGGTCGGGTCGGGTCGATTTGAAGGTCGGGGTTATCAAAATTATGCGCCAAGGGCGGCCATCGTGGCACAAACCGATCGACGCGGTCAGTAACCTTAAAAAGCAGACGCGTTTGATTTCAAGGCTCCGAGTCGCGCGATCAGGTGGTTTGCAGCCAATCACAACAAGGCTTTGTAATCTACGAGTGATGTGTTCATGGTGACACTGCGATGTCAAGGTCATGAATTTCTGCGTGAAATATCGGGCTGGGTCTACTTTAACTTCCAGGTCGTCGGGTACAATAATCGCGGCTCGGTTATCTTTGTAGTGTGCACTGAAACCACCAGAAAGCGACCCGACCCGACCCGACCCAACCTGATCGCGCTAATGGGTACGCTCTATAACCACTAGGCTACCGACGCCACGAGAATGCGCATCTTCAATGAGGTAATACTATGTGTTTATTTATATTTAATTGTAATAAAGCTGTAAAACATGTGTACCTGTCCGTACGTATCCACAAAGCTCATCTCAACCTCGGTGTTTTCATGGGTGATGGTCACTGGCCTGGTTGTGAGGTGGTCGAACTCTGTGGTTGCAGAAAAAGAGTGGGGAAGGGACGCGGTGGGGGTTAATATACACACACACACATATATATATATGTTACAGTAAGAACGCGTACCTAGTGAATACGCGTAATCACTGAATATTTCAGTGAAAACCCGTAATCCCTGTTTC